TCTCTCTGAATATCTTAACATTCACTGGAGCAGTCTGGTATATCCCTGCCTCCTGCTTTATCGTTTCATCAATTCTTTGCCTCCCCACTTGAACTTGTACTGCAATTCCGTAGACAGGCCCACTTTTGTGACTCTCTTGCAATAGCTTCTAAAACAAGAGGTAGTAACGGCTCCTAAAATAGAACTACTTGTTCGAGTTTGGGCATTTCTGTTCTTAACAGGCTGAATTCTAAATAAAAAGAAGGCATTTGTTTATTAGCTCCACGGGCAGCCTTAGAACAAATATTAGGAAGCCAAGAGGAAAGGGGGGCCTGGGGACCATCAGAGAATCGAGCGTGAAAGGGGTTTCACTTTATATGATTTTTAGGGAAACTAGCAAAGTTGCTGTCGTTTTATGTAGGTTCCTTCACAATGTGTGTAGCTGGCATTCCATCTTACCTAAAGATTCTTCGCTAACACACTGTCCTCCCAGATTTTTTTAAAGCAGCTTTCCCCCTCCTGGAGAATCTAGGAATAGCCTCTTTTCACAGCAAAAACAAAGGGTAAGTTTTATGTCTCTCAATCCATCTTTTCTGGAATAAAGAATTCACTTGACACTTGCAAAACAGAAGTTTTTGTTTTAGAGCTTTAATAATGACTGTTTTCCAAACCCAGACTGTTGAATTGAGCCCAGGATATCCAAGTGCTGTTATGCGCCAGCCTGCCACCACTATAAAGTCACAAACAACTTACTTACCTGCTCTGTACCTCTCCTTCCCATCTGCAAAATGGAGATGAAAACCCCTGTTCTATCTGCTGTTCAGGGGATGTGTGAATGAAATGAATACAATCTGAAGTTACACTGAACTCCCAAGCGATGCAATGCAGATGCAATACGGTACTTGATGTTATCAAAACGACTAAATATTATAAATATCTGAAATATAGTTTTAAAGAGCTCTGCGGAGTTCTGTTTAATTCCTTTATAAAACCGTCTGCAGCCTCCGAGATAAATTTTATCTGAAGTATTTCCCACTGTAACCACAAGAGGTCCTCCTCCTAGTAATTCAAATCACGTCGGATTTGACGAGCAGAGGCCCAGGGGCTTCTGTATTTACATCGGTTGGCTGGCAGAACACAGAGATCACCTATGTCAAGCTTCCGTAGCTAACTATAGGGTAGCGAACAAAACCGGAGAAATCTGGCTTTCTCTGGTGATCACTGAAGCATGCTGAACACTAAGCAGTTCCTGTAAACTACACAGCCGCTGCATTTTGCACCCTGGCCCCCTTCCAAATTTTAATTCCTTCTTGTCACTTTGCCCAGTCTTGTTCAGTATTTATTCTCCTTCCCTATTTACTTATTTCCTTTCTTTCTACTTTCCAAACTTTAAATTTTTGACTCACATTCCCCTTGCAAGCAAGCAAAGGTTAGGGATAGAAGAGCTGGGGGGAAAGAGAAAAGAGAGAGAATAAGTCAGGGCTGTTGTAGCAGTTCTCCCGAGGTAATAAAAGGTGTGTCTTTGGCTCCAGGAATCAGGGCTGACCCCAGACAGCCACTCAACCACATGTACTAAGAAGCCCCTTGAGGCGGGGCACTGGGTTAGGAATCAGCAGATCAGTGGCACAGAGGGAGGCCTCCACAAAGAAAACAGTTCTACCCCCCTCAGCATCCCCTCTTGGAAAATAAGCCCTCCAGGGTACAATCAGTTCTTTAATCAGAATGAAATACAGTTGCTTCTTTTCACTAAAATACCCTAAAGAATAAGTGTAGCTTTTTGAAAAATATATTTTTATTGATTTCAGAGAGAAAGGAGAGAGAAAGAGAGAGAGAGAGAGAGAAACATCAACGATGAGAGAGAATCACTGATCAGCTGCCTCCTGCACGCCCCCTACTGGGATCGAGCCCACAACCCAGGCATGGGCCCTTGACCGGAATCAAACCCAGGACCCTTCCATCGCAGGCGAACTCTCTATCCACTGAGCCAAACCAGCAAGGGCATGAGTATAGCTTTCTGCATGAACCATAAGCCCATTTTGTTCTCTACATAATTACTCAAAAGACTGGCAATTTCAGGTTGGAGCTTACAAAAATATGTAATTTCATGAACAGCTAAAATACGTATTTAAGATAAGATTTAAAGATAAGGATAATTTCTGTTTGTGATCATTAAAGTTATTTTACTCCAAAAGTACGTGGCAAATAGTTCTGGCACATTGATGGGCGTCTTAGGTGAATCTAAATGAATGGGCTCCTGTGGTAAAGATCGTATGTGCGGTAGCAAAAACATGCTTCCTGCTCTCCCTTCCCACCCACCCTGCTATTAGCTCCTGACCCGCTCCCCTTCGTCACTGAGGAAAGCAGAAGCCATCTGGGGAGATACCCTGCGTCTTCTCAGCATCAAAGCTACCAGAGCACCATCCCGGAGCCAGCTTCTCGGCCTTCCCTCCTATGACAGCGCAGGCAGAACCCTGCTCCTCCCAAAGGCTAATCTCTCCTCTTCTGCTCTGGATCCCTCTTCTCCCACCTCCCCACAGACTCCACTCCGTCATGATCACCACACGAGCTGCACTATCACCCCTTTTCAATGATCAGCCTAAAACTATGCCGCGGGACTTCTAACTTCAAAATACCAAACAAACAAAAGCACTAGCTTCATCCTTCAGCTCCCTCTAGCGCTCCTCCCAGTCCTCTGCCGCCTTCATCACAGGACTTCACCCCTGCGCTGACACCTCTCATTCACTCCACAGCCCGCTCCATGGAACTTCTGTCCCCTTCGCTGCCCGAAGGGCCAGCTTTAAGTCTATCAACAACCTCCCGGCGATCACCTCAGGGGATAGCTCATCCAATCCTATGGCTTTAAGTGAGATCAGCCATTGGATGTTGAGTGGGACTTTAACTGTTGCACCGAATTGGCAACTAAGGCTCAAAATGAAAACATAAGAAAATGAAGCCATCTGTGTACATGGCACACTAAGGAATTTCCAGTGTTTGAGGACAGACACCTCACTCAGGGCTTACTAAGAAGGTAAGAAGAGCTGCATGTTCTTCTCTCCTGTTCCCTCTCCCAGCCCCAACACGAGGAAAAGTTTGGAGACTTGAAAAATTAAGGGAACAGGCCAACTAGTCCTCTCTTCTCAAAGATATCAGAGAAGAAGTGGTGAAAAAGTAAATGTCCCATCCGATTTCCAAGTCCCTTGAAAGGACAGTTTTAAGACGAGAGCTGATTATTTTTTCTTTGGAGGGTCAGTGCTGGAGGAGGGGAAAGATGAAATTTTATTAAACTGGAATAAAGTGGAAGTTTTTAAATGGACTAAGCAGCTTTCAAAACACTGCAAGTGGCAAGTAAATTATGGAGCCTACCCAGTGTGTCATGAAGGAATGAGAAAAGGAGATACCACAGAACAGCTGAAATGCAGGGATTGGGGAAAGCAAACTCGTTCACCCAGCAAACCGGTCACACACCCATAAGCTAATGATTCCCAGATCAGTATCCCAGCCTAGATCTCTCTCACCAGCACCAAAGGCATACATCCAACTGCCCTCTCCACTTGGATAGCGAAGACACACTTCAACTGTAGCATGTCCCAAAAAACAGCTCTCGCTTTGGCCTCTCAGACCTACTTCTTTCTGTCACTCATATTCTAGTTATGGGTACCATCGCCTAATGGCTTAACCCAAAACCAAGGAGTCATTCTTCATTCATTCTTTCCCCTTTCAATCATCAAAAATTCCTATTACTCTTACTTCCAAAAGCTATTTTTAATACATTCACTTGTCTCTATCTCCCCCGTCCCAGCTATCCTGAGGCATTTGCAATGCATTCCCCACATGGCATCTAAGTGGTCTTTCAGAACACAGCTTTGCTCATCTTATTCTACAGCTTAACATCACCCAATGGCTTCCTATTCCTTAGAGCAGAAAATCCGAATTCTTTACCCAACTTACAAGGCACTGCATGATGACCTGGCTCCTGTCAACCTCTCCAACCTTGACTCACAGCGCTCTTCCCCCTACTTCACTGACTTTAACTACACTTTCTGTTCATAGAACCCGCAAGCTTTCCCCCTTAGGGCTGTGGCACTGGCTGACCCCCCGCCTGAAATCATTTTCTCCCAGTGGCTTAAACGTCTGGCTCACTCTCTACCTTGACATAACACTTCCCCTTCTCAGAGAGCTGATCACCTTATCTCACTGTCCCCAGTCACTTATAGCAACCTCACATATTTATTTATGTTTCCTCATTCCGTTGGGATGAAAGCTAGAGGCAATGGCAGTGCCCATCACAGCATGGCATATGCAAATGAACTAGAATGGATTTCGAAAGAGGGAG